TTTTAAAATTTTATTTTAAAGAGAAAAATTCCCCAAAACAAAAATGAAGACAAAAACAAAACAACAAAAAACAATAAAAATGATACAGAATTTCAAAACAAGGTGATAGGAAATTAACAATTTAACCATATATTTAAAATTCTGTCACCATATAACTGATACAATGATTAGTAATGAAATATTTTTATTCGTTTTGATAGTAGATCATTGACATTGTATGTATAGGAATATTATTTTTTACATTATAGTGTATCTCAAGTTACAGCATATCTCAACTGTTTTCTTTTTTTTTTGGTTTTTCTCCGGTACCAGGAACTGAACTCACGACCTTGCGCTTGCCAGGCAGGCGCTTTTGCCGCTGAGCTAAATCCCCAGCCCCAATCTCAACTGTTTTCATCAAAAAGGATTAGATCAGTATTTAGACTTCACAGGTATAACTTCATTTCAAAAATAACTGAAAAACTTTGAATAATGAAGGCATTCTAACTTTTAAACTTGCACATAAATTGATTAAAAGAAATAAAATGGGTCCTCAGTCTACTGGCTACATTTCAAATGCTCAGTTTGGCTAGTGGTACAGTAAGGACAGTATAAGACAAACCAAGAATAGCAAAAATGTAAAGTGCATGCCATAATTGCTCCTCTCTTTTTTTGAAGGTGAGTATCTACAATGAATCATGGAATTTGATCCAAATAAACCCCCTTAATGAATCTGTCTAAACATGGAATTCTCCTAAGCAGACAATTCATCAAAATTGGTACGTAAGGTTAAATAAATCTGTTTCCTATCTAACAACTTAAACTACAAATTTCGGTTTAAATAGGTAGATTCAACAGATCATTTTATGTTCTTATTCACAAAAACTCCTAAATGCTGGATTTAGCAGAATCCAACATTTCTTTTAGGGGAACACATAAATATAATTTCCTGTTCCTCAAATGTAAGTCAGTAAAAAGGATGTAAAGCAAACTTGTACAGCAGGACATTTCTTCATCATATACTCAGTGAGGTACTTCTTGTTCATAAGCCACTAAATATGGTATGGACTTCACTGGTAACAGCTTTAAATTAGATTTAGTCATTTTTAACTACAAAGAACCTATATGATGTATATAAATATGAAAAGTAGGCAACCGAAATACAGAGGCAAAAATAAGCAGGTTGATGAGTAACCCATCACATTCCTGGCAATCCCTGACCTTCATTTTAGTTACCTTTCTACTCTTGCAGTTTTTCATCATTTGGTTACTTGTTAGAGACACTACACAAAAATCCTGTATTTGCAAGAAACACACAGCAGGCTGTGGAAAAGAGCTCTGATAAGTTATTCCAGGGTCAGAGTAGAAGGCTAAGCTGCCCTGAGCTGATGGAGCAGGAAGAGAGAGCGGAAAGTGCCTGTCCACTGCTCACCATTATCCTCAGACTCCCAAGGCACTGACATGATGTCTACTCTAACACTGGCTCTCTGGTGAGCAGGGTATTAGGCATCACCGGTCTCTCCTGCAAAATTTAAAGTTTAAAGGATCAAATCTTCTTTAACACCAAACTATCATAGTTTTAAAGGTCTGATTTAATAAGTCATTTCTCAAGGTTTAGTATAAAAAGAAAATATTTACATACATCAAAGTTATGACTTTTTAAAATAAAAAGATAAATTCGTTTAGCATCCAAATGTCTGGGTAACTCAGTAAGTTCACTTGTTTTGAATCCTGAGAAGTTGTAACCCTATAAAAAAGGAACAAATAGAACAATATTTCATTCTCATCAGCACAATCGTCTCGTATGACTATAAAAGACAGGCAAATCTGTAACTATCAATCAAGTGACAAATATGTTGCTACATTAGATAAGAAAATTATCTCTCTTACATAAACATCTTCATGTTATTTGATTTGCAAATTTAAAAGCTTTTGCATAATCACAGGCTAATTAAAAAGCAAAATAAAATCATTTAGAATATATTTTGATAGATACTCAAATGATCAAGAATTTTAGCTAGACTATATACAAAGAAATATGAACTAAGCAGAAAAGAGGAACTTGCTATCCCAGTTAGCAACTCTTTTTTCTGGAACCTCTACCTATACAGCTTTATTTATATTATTGTAACAAACTCTTTTTTTATTTTAAAGAGAGTAGTACATGAGAAACAAACAAACAAAAAAATAGAACAGTAGCAGCATACCGGTACCACAAACATAAACAAATCAAAGCAAGAATATTCAAAGTGATAGAGGGTCTCAAGACAAATGAATACAAATGATTGTAACATTCTTTTAGACACAAATAATACTTTTGCTATACAATGGGGTAGAATAAGAATGTTAAATACCTCTATATTCTTCTCTGTTTCCATCTCATCTGAAAGCTATAAAACATTTAAAACAACATCTTTAAAACTCTCAATCCAATAAAACACATTCAACAATAACATTTGCTAAAGTTTTGTTAATGTAGTTTATCTAAAGGTAATTTCAGCAGATCCTGAAAAGTCACCTAATAAAATTCATCAGTGAGAATTTTAAAACTTCTTTTTTTTGTTTGTTTTTGTTTTTTTGGTTTTTCTCTGGTACCGGGAACCGAACTTACGACCTTGCGCTTGCCAGACAGGCGCTTTGCCGCTGAGCTAAATCCCCAGCCCCTTAAAACTTCTTTTGAATAAAACATTTAAGTAGTAATATAACTACCAGTGTTCCAATGTTCTCACACCCTAGAATAGATTATCATTGATATTTTAGCATTTGCTTCAAGACTACATTTGTAAGGACATTCCCCTTCTTGGATTCCCCTCCTGGAGAAACCAACAGCCTTTTTTCCTTCTCCTTATTTCCAATAAAAACTCTTCTAACTTCCTCCTTTTGGTTCACAACTTCATTTGCCAACACTGTGAAACCACAAACTCAGTTTATACTGAATTAATGTTTTCATAGTTTGGAGGTCGCACCAAGATTTGAGGTTATTAGGAGGTAAGCCCCAAATAGGAAGTTTTTATTATCATCATCTTCTTGCAATGTGTTCTTGTTAAACATGATTACATTTAGGAGGTAGGAGGGAGGTGAGATTTGTGCTTTCTGGCTTTTTTTTTTCTGGGTAGCCTTATGTTTCTTCTTTCATTTCCCTCATGGTAGGGTAAACCTGTGGACAACATGCCTCACATAAAAATTCAGGATCTTGCCATTCACCTTTTTAAAAGGTGATTAGTGCAGGCTGCCACCCTTAAATCTCAGAGGACAGGCTTCACTGGGGCAATCTGACCTGAGGCCCGCCTGACCGCCACACACACACACACACACACACACACACACACACACACACACACATACACACACATGCAGAGGCAATGTTGAGCCTGCTCTACCTCACATTCCTTTCCAATATGATCCTCTGGTGAGGGAGCAAATTTAACTTGTGATACTCTCAATCATGTTCTCCTGAGACTGACAGTTCTTGGGTGAATTATTCCATTAACTCACTGCTATTCCCTCTTAATGCCTATTTTCTCTTGCTGCTGTTTCCTTTCTCATTTTTTTAAAGGCTTATTTACTAAACACCAGAGAAACCCACCCTGAAAAGTTTTCAGTCCCAGTTTGCCTGTCTTCCTGGCCTTAGGATAAGGCTGGGAACTAGGGGCTATCTCCACTCCTTTCTCCTTCTCCCTTCAAAAATGCCACTTTGGTGAGGCAGGCTGTTTTCTTTTTCAAGGTGGGACCATCCCAGCACAGGTGATCATGCTAGGAGATCTGAAAACTTCAGGCAGATGGGAACAGCGATGCATGCACTGGACCTCTTTTACTGGGCCCACTAGACAACCTTCCGAGGAGAGTCCATGACCAATGGACCTCAAAGCTGGACTCCTTTTACTGGGGCCACTAGACAACCTTCCGAGGAGAGCCCATGACCGATGGACCTCAAAACGACGTTAGATCCCCTTAGCTGAGCTCTGTGGAGAAGATTCCTGACTGCCAGCTCCTAGGCTAACCTCTTTCAGCAGGAAATAGCTAGATTTGGTCTTCACCCCTTTCCCCTAAGGGCAGTTAGGGATACTTCTTAGGGATACTTCTTTTTATTTGTGTAGGTTATGACTAAAGCATCTAGCTAAGTAAAGGGCCTGAGACAGTTGGGATCAGCCATTTAGATAAGAATTAAAATAGGAACAGATCACGAACTAGGACTTTGGACCAAGAGTGAACTTCCTCAGGCAACACGGAATGAAGCCTCCTCCTGACTAAAGGGGAGTTTCAGCCGCTCTGTACTAAGCTCCTAGAATGGGAAATAGACAGTTTTTCTCTGAACTCCCTATTTCTTTTAAGCCCTACATGCTGAGTAACTGGGTTAGAGAGTCTGAGATACAATTGGTCATTTTAAATCCACAGTCATTTGTGACAGGTGTCCACCAAAGGACTGAGTAATGCCACGTGCTCTGCTTATCCACAGAAAGCTCTGGACTGAGGGGCCATGTGGAATTTCCACTTTTGGGTTCCCTGGAGCTTTTTTTTTTTTTTTTGTCTTTTTGGGTCTCATTATGCAGTTCAGGCTAGCCTTGAGCTCACTTTGTAGCCCAGACTGGTCTCGAACTTGCAACGATCCTCCTGCCTCAGCCACCTGAGTGATGGGATTACAGGCATGCGCCACCATGCCCGGCCTTAGAGCTTTTTTTCTTTCTCCTTATTTCCAACCCAAACTTCCCTAACTTAAAAAAAGACTATAGTTTAAAAATATAATATGAAATTTATATACAAAAGAGTAGGAAGTTTGAATCCCATTTCATCAAGATTTCTAGCTATAGTCCTACATTTCCTCTTTGAGAAAATCATTATAATTTTTTGGTTTGTACCCATTCCATTACAAATGCTTTTATACACAATACACACAAGACATACACACCATATAAGAGACTTTTTGTGCATTTTTAAATGTAAAGAAATATGTACAGAAATGGTAGCTATACATTTTATTTTGTAAATTGCTTTTTTCACACAATATTAGATTTTCACATTCGATTTATGTGTAATTAGTAATTTCCATACAGATTTTTTTGGTTGTTTTTTACCAACCTAGGCATTCCCTGCTGCACAATATAAATCAAGGGAAGTTTGCAGGTAACTTTTGTGAAACATTTAAAGGACAAAGGTGTATTTATATTCTACAAGTTATTTTAGAGTGGAAAGAGAAGCAAAGCTAAGTACTTTATTTTCTAGGATTAGTATGATTTTGAAAACAAAACCAACTGCAGATAACATAGGAAAAGGTAATCATATCTGAACCAATAATAAACTATTTAATAACATAATGGAAAAATAATCTCATTGACATTATTAGCAAAAATTTATGATACTTAGGGAAAAATGGAACAGCAGATGTGTAAATTGTCCAAGACTCAGGCCATTTTTCTCTTTCTTTAATATTACAATAAAAAGTATGTTTTAAAAATGAAAGTTTTGTTACTTAAATACATTAACTATATTATATATTTTACATGTAGCCCAAGAGAGTTCTTCTTCATTCAAAAGAAAAAAAAAGGCAAAACCAGTGAGCAGCAGATGGGACATGACAAACTGATGAATTTAAAATAACATGTTCACAGTTTTATTACCTTATAATACATACTAGATAAATTCAAGAATTAAATATTTTTAAAATTATAAGAATAATACAAAATAAGATATGTGACTATATCTATTACCACGTGATAAAGAAACCCTTAGGAAATATTATGTCACCAAAGAAAGAAAATTATAGGAAAAATTACATATTCATAAAAATATAAAATTCTACATGGCCAAAAATACCTTTTAGTTAAGTTGCTTGAGTTGAGGATGTTGCTATCAAGTTAGCAAACATTAAAAAATATTTAGAGGCTGAGTGAGTGATCAATCATGAACTAGTGATAAAAATATGAATTGGTACATTCCAGAGAACAATATAGCAATACACACCAGAACACTTGGAATTTCACAATTGCTCTGCACTTCTTCTGGAAGCTTATCTTAATAATTACGGGTAAGCACAATCTGTGGCTCTAAAGATTTTGACAAAAGCTTTGTGAATGATAACAAATGTGAAAACTAACCTAAATGTCCAACTAAAAGGCTACTACAATTGTGTATTTATGAAACACACATTTTAAAATGATACAAAATAATGTTTATTCATGGAAATTTAATAATGCATATATTTAATTAGAGAATATAATTTAATCCAATTTTTCTAAAAAAAGAAAATGAAGACTTACATGTAATTACCTACAAGTGATGAGATTATGATGCTAATTTCTAGTTTTTGATTCCTAAAATTACTACCTTAGTAATTTACAATGAAGAATAAAGACCAAAACTTATTTTGAAATTTAAAAATAATGTTAAATGAGGTAAACGGTCTAATGGTAACAGACACTTAAGTATTTATAGCTTTCAGACTATGTAATTTTAGAATGTATTTTTGAAAAGAACTAAGCATGTGTAAGTAATTAAAAGCCTATTAGAATTTGAATGAAAATCTTAAGGAGATTTTAAAAAACTGACAATATAACATAAAGGTCATAAAGAGAACTGTTTGTTTCTAAATGAAGAGGATTGCAGTGGGACCTGTACTACTGAGTTTATTGCAAATTATTAAATAATAAAAGCATGGAATATATATATACATTAAAACAAATTGTAATAACTTGCAGTGTAGAGACAAGGGTAGAGAGGGAAGGGAAAGAGGGCATAAAAATAATTAAAATGTGTTGTGTACATGAACCAACTTCCCACAATGAATGTAATCATTATGTGTTGCAAATGTGTACTAATACAAATTAAAATTTAAACGAAAAAATTTGTAATGTTATGAAGATTTTAACATACTGAGTATAAAGACAGGAATGAGCGTAGGCATTTTGTTTGTTTGTTTGTTTGTTTGTTTTTCCAGTACCAGGAATCAAACTCACGACCTCGTGCTTTCCAGGAAGGCGCTGTGCCACTGAACTAAATCCCCAGCCCCTGAGTGTAGGTATTTTTAAACACAGAGACAGTTTTTAAGGAATGAAAGGCTAAAAGATCACTTTTGGAAATGTTATCAGTGCTTATCTGTGGAATGATAGTTTATATATTTTTGTGAAGATACAATTTTTGAAGGATGATAAAAACGTAAGTACCATACCATTATCTTCTTTTGTTTTCCATACTTCTTTATAAATGCCTTGTATTTTTTCAATTTTTCATAAGAACCTTAAAAAAAGAATTCACATCATATACCCTTTAAAAATGAAGAAAGTTCTAAATACTTCAAAAAGTTACATATGAAATTATTCAATGGGATCAGCTAGTGATTTTGATAAGCACAATACTAGACACATTCTTAATGAATCGGAAATATTATGTATCTTCTGTTTCCTTCAGTTTCTCCAAAGTATCATGTTCTACCTAACATGACTGCAGAACTCATTTCCATATGTAAAGTTTTATCTCAGTCTCTACTAGACAGGCCCATATTTTTCAAAGAGCTCAGCCACTTAGCTTCTGTTGTTTCACGGCTACCTTGAACTCAGTGAAATGCTGTACTATTGTGCATGGCTGAATGGGTGATTATGGAAGTTTTCAAATCAGATAACATAGACTTTAATCTCTGACCTTCACATCTGAGGACTCTGAATATATGTAAAACTTATTTAAAGAAGGAAAAAGTTATGAAGAAATATATTCATATTTTTCTCTTGTAGATATATTTCTTTTTAAAAAAATATATGTGTGTATGCAAGTCACATGCATACATATGTATACATATATACACAGTTTATATACATATGTACACATATTGTATGTATGTGTATATATACTAACATATTTCATACATACACATGGTTTACAGACATTTAAAAAGCAGTAACATTTTATTTTATTTATTTATTTAATTTTTTGGTTTTTGGTTTTTCTTCCAGTACCAGGAATCAAACTCATGACCTTGCGCTTGCCAGGCAGGCACTGTGCCACTGAGCTAAATCCCCAGCCCCAGCAATAACATTTTAAAAACATGAAAATTTAAAGTGCTAAATTTAATACCAGTGTAAACACATTCTCAGATTGAAAAATCTAAAGCCAAAAAGAATATAGTTAATCAAATATATTTAATATATAGAAAATATTTTATAATTATAGTCAGTATAATCACTTCCAAGGCTTCTATATGACAAGTTTTCCCATTAAGTCAATAAGACAACAATTACCATCATTGTGGAAGCATTAGTCAATATGATTTGATAAGAAAAAAGTGGTACAAATGCTAAATATGAAACATTATCAACATTTGCAGATACACTTTTCAGTCAATTCACTGATCTCAAACTGCATGCTAAGTACTTCTATAAGCCTACAATCTTGCCCATATAGATCAACTGTCTCCCTTTTTACTTTTGGTTTTGGAGATTTCCGTTCTTCTCTCCTGACCTTATTGACTTGCTTGTTTCTCATAATGTCAGTTGATGCCATCTTATTTCCCTGATTTTCTAACTTCTGCTCCAGTTTAACAAAGTTTGTAACTGTTTTAGTCTTTACCCTAGCAACAGTCTCTTTGGAACAACATATTATATATTCAGTTAAAAATCTGTCTTAGACCCATCTTACAATATAATATATTTTTTGATTTTAAGATTTTCTACATGAAGATCTCATTCGTTATGAGAACACACAGATAGACTAATATACAAACACATGCACAGCTGAGCATTACTTTGGTTGTGTAAGAAATTAAGGCTTACTTGTCCTGGAAATCATGCTATCCTGCTCAAACAGTTTAGAAGCATGGTCCTGCAAAAGATGTGAACATTCTTTTAATCTTGAATCCATAGCTGTGATTGTTTCAAATATTCGAGGGACATTATTCCATAGCTGTGTATAAATTGAAGTAAATGAACTGTCTTCTTTTATTTTTTTCAGGGTGTATATCCACGTATCATTATCTGTCCACTTGATTTCCCTGGGCCAGTAATCCTGCAAAAATATGGAAGAAAGGAAACTACTTAATCATTTTTAATAAATGTTCAGGGGAGCCTAGGTCCTCCTTTCTTTGGGGAAAAAGTATTCTAAAGATACATACGTGCCCTCTCCCAAACCCTAAAAATGTATTTCTTAAAACACAACAACTAGGGGAAGTCTTCTAGTATGAAAATCAGGAAAACTGACCCAAAAAAATCCCCAAAAAGATCTCAAAATTATAACATAGGATCACACGCTTTTTTCTGAAGAAAAACGCTGTCAATTTGGAATGACAGCTTCATTTGAAATTATAATCTTCTGTGTCATGTATTCTATTGTTAGCACAGCGGAGGAAGCAAGAAGAGGCTAAAAGGGATTTGAGAAGATTGTACAATATGTACAAACCTTTACGGAGCTGCATCCTTAACGCCAGCCCACAGATACCACGACTTGGTTCCCAAGACTGCAAAGCACACTGCTTGAGGAGCTCTTATGTGAAAATGTGAATCTGAAATGCTTCAAAATCCAAAGCTTTAAAAAAAATTCCAAAACTTCTTGAATGCTGAGCCAACACCAAAAGTGGAACTTTCTACATCTGATCTCACTTGATAAGTTGTATTCAAAACATACATGTACAACATGTGGTTTATTCAGTGTCCCTGGGGGGAAGAAATTCCCTTCTGTTCCCCCTCAGCTGTGTGTGCCCCATGTCCCCTGTGCAAGCATGTCCACAAACAGTAACACAAAAGGTGGCCACAAAAGTAGTCCAATGGCACATGTGCAGGTTGGACACATTGATGTAGATCGCACAGTGCTGTACGTAGGGATGAGACCTACATGCATTATTCATTGTTTTTTTTTGTTTGCTTTTGTGCTTATTCTCTGATCTGTGGTGTGAAGATATGGTCGTAATTTTTTTTAAGTGCAGTTACCCCAATGCGCAACAGTAGTAAGGCAAAGAGGAGGCATTTATTTTTATCTTTAGTGCAGAAAGTGAAGTCATTGTAGAAACTGGACAGCAGTGTAGTGTGAACCTTCTTACAGGAGAGGATGGTGTCAGAATGATGACCGCCTATGACCTGAAGAAACAAGCAGTCAAGGGATTAACTCAGGTCTCAGAGCCATTCATACCCAGAATGTGATATTTAGATAAGCCTTGATACTTTTACTGAATTCTTTGTGGTTGTGCTGTTAAGTGAATACCAGTTGATGTTCTTGAAGTAGGTAATATCTTATAGTAGATCACAATTGCTGCCCTTGTCTCTAAATTACTTTCTTCCCCTAATCCTTCATACTGTGCCTTCAGCCAGAAGCCTCTTGAATAGAGTGCCACCTGAAAAATACAGTTTCAAGCTAATATATGAGCACATCTTTGTAGTACTAACTATGTAGAAGGCCAAGATGGGAGGACACTTAAGATCAAGTTCAAGACCAGCCTGGGAAACATAAGGAGGAGCCCCTGTCTCAATAGCCACACATGTGTGTGCACAAGCGTGCTGTACATGTGTGCAAATTATATAACCAGACCTCAAAAAATAAATGTGGCTATCAGAACCAGCAGATTGGCGAGCTTTCAAGGAAAAAAATTATATCATTACTGCCAGAGGGGAAATCAACACAACAAGAGGCTAAGCATCCAGCATCCAAAGTGATTATATTAATTTAAAGGAAATGAATGTATTCAAATTCCTTGAGTAGCAAAAGAATTGGAAAGGAAATGTAGGTTCCTCATAGAATTCATTTCTCCAATATAGGATGATGGGCCTCAGTGATAACTCCAAGAAAACAATTATCTTGTTTAAAACAAGGCCAAGGAAGCAGGGATTGATTAGGTATTTATGTTTACTTTAATTATAGCAATTAACTTTGGCAGTGGCAAAAGCACAAATGATTATACACCAGCACAGAACTAGGGATGGAAAAGGGAGAGTAAATAGACAAACGGCTTTCCTGAAGTTTGAAGGGTTTTCTTTACTGAATATTGTTAGATCTTCATGCACATCCCAGCCCGCAAAGACTGCTGAGTTTCAACAAGATAGGAAGCATGGCCTGAAGAATTGTTAGCCCTTCTTCTTTAAGGTTTGATAGAAGGAAGAGTTTAAATGAACGAATGGGTGGATAAATGAGTGGAAAACAAAGCAGGCTATTTGTTAAAGAAAAGGGTATCGAAAAAAATCTCTCCATCATATCTTTAATCCTTTAAGGAAAATCATAGTGGAGAGCTGAGTACCCCTTAGGTCTGGATTAGAAATCTAGGTCTCTTAACAAAAACGGGCATGAGAAGATGAGTTGAAGTACTTCTAGGAAGAAGAAAGAAAAGGTGCAATAATGTGGAATTAAATGTGATGGGTAGAGAAGGAAGGCACTGGAGACAATTGTTCATTTCCTGATGAACTGGAAAGTAATCAGAATAAAAAATATGACAGTACAGAGAAACAGGGGAGAAGGACAGTGATATAAATTCCATACAAAATAGGGAGCTTTGTTTGTTTTATTCATCACTTTATCTTCAGTGTCCAGAAGATATCTCCCAAATGGTGCAGTAATAAAAATAATTAAATGGATGAATGTGTAGAACAAGAGTTGACATGATGTAACAATAGTAGGATGAGAGAATGTTATAAAATAAAATACCAAAATATTTTGCAATAAAAGTAGAATGGTGATGAACTGAAGAGGGAGCAACAAGAAGAAAATGTAGGAGCTGGTCAACAGAAAGATGAGAATGCAGAAATAATGGAAGGTAAAAAGGTACAGAGAAGCGTAACAAAAATTGGAAGAGGAAGAAGAGAGGAGTAGAAGGTACAATATATTCAAATTACAAAAGAATACAGAAATGATAGGAAAAGATTGGCAAAAAAGAATGGATTTAGATGATGCAATAAAATATATAGTATAAGATAAAACTGAAACCAGTATCTACTATGTCAGTGGCAGGTGCTGTTCTAGAGCTAGCAGGGTCCAGACTAGAACACAGGCAGGCTGGCCCCAGAATCTCTGCTCCTATCCACTGTACCACCATGCACACACATATCTCTGCCTTCATATTTTGTAAGTAAAAAAAAGAAAATGAAATAGGCTCTCTAGAAGTGATAGGCTGTTTTGAATATATTCTTCATTTCTCTTTTGCTTTATTTATTTGTTCATAATATGCCTCAATTCTAAAAAATGACAGCATCATGAAAGCAAGTCTTTGCCTGCTTTTATTCACTGATACATCCTAAGTGTCTATTTTTCTGGTACATAGTTAGTACTCCAAAATATTTCTTAAATGAATACACCTCAGTTATTGCTTCCTTACCATTGCCTACTAAATAAAAACTTTGTTTAGCAAGCAAAATTGAAATACGTGGTTGTTTTGTTTCTTAATATTTTCAAATATGAAAAGTTTGGTAATGCATAGACATAGTTAGGGCTTACAAAATGAGCTACAGAGTATGACTATTAGGTTGGGAAATCCAGAAAATAAAACAAAGATTTAGAGACAAGCTCATAAGTGACAAAATCGTACAACTGAATATATGGTTTTATCAAATGTGATCTGGTAGGAATATAATTACAGCCTGTGCATAGAAATATCAATATAATATCCTTGGAATACAAGGACAGCACTACTGACACAAGAAGACATGTACTTTGATTTTATTCTACCTGTAGTGAAGGGCTGGCAAAAACTTATGATCTTGACTTCATTAGTATCATGTTCAATTTAAGCAGAGGAATTATGAATTTTCCATTTCAAATAATTAGAAATTATCATGTGCAATAATAGGTCCTCAAACATGTATAACATGTGGTCCAAATATCTCCATTATTTTGTTGAATTTTGCTTAATTTTAATTATAATCGTTTACTTCTGATATTAGAAAAAGAAAAAAATGAAACAGTGACATTAGGCTGCAGCACATTTCCATCACTATTTAAATCAAAATAGTTGCAAAAAGCTTGCCCTAAAAGTACTTCAAAATATTTGGCTCTACCACAGTGACTGAAATAAACTTTTGTAAACTAGGAATGTTTTCATGTTCTAGTGCTGCAAAAGGAAATCCTTTTCCAAAAACATTAGGGAAAAACATTTGAGAAAAACATTCATGTAAATAAATATAAAATTGGAAAATAGATCTTTAAAAATAGGTATATCTGAAAGTGCATTGTCAATAATTTAGTCATAGTAAATTCCATTTATATTTAAGCATAGATGTAATTCATTAAAAATACAATGCCTTATAAAAAAAAAGTTGCCCTTTTCCTCTATTTCCACATAGACAGCTTTATCCTAGCCCTTAAATAACATAACTCAGTGCAAAATAAATCTGGCCTTCACACTTAGAAGCGCATGGACCCCAGGGCAAACTTCTTGGCAATCCCAGTAACTTCACAAGAAGCCAGTAGTTATGCATAATAATAGAAACTGGAACTTTTCAATGTGAAAATACATTTTGACTACTCTATCCTGATTCAATTGAGGAATATTAATGTAACGCCTTTCCAAATTATCTGTTAGTCTTAGCCATGGCATATAGATAATGAGCTAAGTATAACTGTCAGATTTTCTTTAAGGTGTATGTATTTAAGACAAAAATCACATATTAGCAAAAGTACAGTGGTACCCTGGTTCGTGAGCTTAATTTGTTTCATGATTCTGGGAAAGATGGCTGCCAAGATGGCCGCTTTCCTGTTGCTGCAGGGAAAATGGCCGGGGAGGTGTACTGCACCTGAAGTAGATTTTGTCAATGGAAGCAAAATTTTGCCAAATGCTTCCGTTTGCCAACCAAAGTGCTTGTGAACCAAATGCATTACAGTAATGTCTGCATAGGGCTAAAATGTTTTGAATGTGAAAAGATAACTACTGATGAGAATAGCAGAAAGCCTAATGAAAAGAATTAAATATTTGCAAAGATTTCCCACAGTGAAATTATTTTCTTGAATTTATATTCTTAAAGTTTTTCCTAAGATGCCCTCAACTCTTTATCTAACATTTTTAAAAAGGTGTCAGTTCATAAAATAGGAAGCTCTACTTACCCAATTTTGAAACTTTAAGAATTCTTCAATGCTCTTTGGAGGTTCTTGCATTTTCTAATGAAGCAAAATTAGTATTGCTTATTGACATAAATTTAGATTATACATAATATTTATACATAATTTACTTAAAATGTGATACTGAAATGATAATTTTCAGATCTCTAAGACATTGTAAAATATTCACTTTGCAAAGTTCCTGCAATTTGAAAAAGGACAGAGATATTTAAATTTTATCCCTCTAAATCAAATTCTATAAAAAGCTTTTTATTTACTACATGTAGTCCATGTGAATTTTGCTGAATGTCCTCTTTTCTAATTTCCTATGAGGGTTTCAAAATTAATTTGGGCTACTGTGGACACTATCTATAATAAATACAGAGTAAAAAGTATGATAACACACTCTTCTTGCTGATGAAGTATTTTAAAAGGCCACAATAGCAAAATGGTGGAAGCAACTTAAACATTTAAATGTTTCAGTCTAATAAGTAATAATCCAATTTTCATTCTGTAGTAGTTTGTGAGTTGAGAATATATTGAACATTAGACAAGTTAATTTCAATCAAGCCAGAGCTTGCTCCTTCTTGCCTTAGAGACTTTGAACAAATTCTACTTTCTGCTTAGATCTTCCTTTGTCCCAAGCCCTTATTGGCCTACTTAGCACCAAATTAAAATATCTAATTAAAAGTTATTTTTTCTAGAAAGGCTTCATTGGCCCCCCAAAGAATTTTTCCAAGGTAACATAAAGCAGATTCATATCTCCACGAGGACTAAAACTATGGGGCAATCATTGCTGAATTATCTAAATTACACACAGTGGTTATTCCACAATCCATGAAACTTGCCATGTGCATGAATGAATGAATGAATGAATGAATGAATGAATGAATGTGAGAAACATGTAGCTATTCAATAAAAAATAATAATAACAACATTTCTAGAGAATGAAAAACTAGTGAGAAGGCAAAAAGAAAAGGAATTTAGAAAAGAGGAATTTGGAAGTCTGTATCCTGACAGCCAGATGATGTGGCTGAAGAGATTGCCTCATATTTTACATTCTAAAACACATCTTTTACGCTAATATATAAAATGGTCAACATTGTAAAATTGCTGGGCTATGCTTTGTAAAAGTAATTACACATTTGCAGTTGAAAGGAATGTTTCACTCAATATTGTTTAAAAAATATATGAAGAATATAAGTAAATGATAATAAAATAAAGGGTATATGTGACAACCACTACAGAAAGTAAGTCTTCAGACTGAAGCACAGATGAGTACAGCTGCCAAGGAAATTGTTTGGGAAGCATGGAGCTCTGTGGCTGGCCAGATGGAGAAGGGTGAGCGGTGGGAGACGTGGAGTACACAGAAACCTGTCCCTAGGGTAACTCGTCAGGGACACTGAGTGCAGCAACTTGGCTAAAAGAAACTAGCAGTATTTTTTTAAGTTCACAGAATATAAAGGAACCTAATTAAAACAATTTGAATGCCGACTTTCTTTCTTATAATGGTTGTCTACTTAAGAGCACAAACTGAAAATACACAGATTTCAATGAAAGGGAATCAGCTAAATGAATCATAGAAATGAAATTTGTATAGGGAAGTTTCAGTTGATTTCAATATAAAATTCCAAAGTTCTTTGAGATAAAGTTAAAAGGAGGTTAGGTCTACATTAAGCAGATCTCTCCCTTTAGTGAGTACAGAATAATTCTATATTGTAACGATAAGAAAAACTTGAATCAAGTAAAAATCATGGTTTTGTACGTGTTTAGTGGCAATCAGCAGCTCCCAGTAAACACGGCCAGTTACATTCAGTATGAGAATCCAGTCTCCTTTGTTCAGACATTACTAAGTTCAAGATAGTAACATCAGAGTACTCATCATCAGGAAGCACAGGGCTCAGGGACCTTCCCAGCATGCAAGCCCGTGTGTCCACCCCTGCCTGGGAAGTTTGACGGCCTGAAATCCAGAAGAAAAGATGGCTTTGTAAATTGAGCATAACACTATGACAGATTGCTTACCAAGGCGCCAGCTTTGCGCAGCCATTGAAGCTTCCGTTGGCCTGCCATGGCGCAGTGACTCTGCAGAGGTGAAGAGAAATCTGTTGGGTCTTGGGGGTCAGTGTGAGTTGGGGTAACAAAGTGAAGAGATGCTCAGACCAAGAATACACAACTCTGCCCAATAGTCCCTTGCCTTCCCCCTTAAACCTCACTACTGAATTTTGTCAAGGAGACAGCAGTAGAGATAGGGGCTGGAAAGGGAAAAACTGTCCTAGTCAACACATGCTTATAGTTTTTAGGTCCTGGGGCTCAGACAAAATTGACCCCAATCACGAATCAAAAACATCTAAAGCTTCAGTCCAAATTTCTCCCAGTTCAAATATTGATAAGGTATAAAAGATAGCTTTAATCACAGGTGATTTCTAATCTTCAACTGTGGGAGGGTTCTAAAGAACACCCTCTCACTCTAAATGCTGAAAAAGCAAAAGGCTTGTGCTCTCTGAAAACTAAACAAAATTAAATTTTGGTCTCCACAGTGTTGTTACACTGGCCCGACACACAATAAAATGATTGCAAAGGCAGTGGTGGGTGGCCCACTCCTGTCATCCCACACTTTGGGAGACTGAGGCCAGGACTGAAAAGTCAAGCCCAGCCTGAGCAATTTAGCAACTTAGTGACCCCTGCCTCCACAAAAATCCTCTGTCCATTAGACAAGTGCAAATTAAAACAATTCTAAGATTCCATCGTACACCAGAAAGAATGGCCATCATTAAGAAGTAAAAAAATAACAAATGCTGGCATAGCTGTGGTGAAAAAGGAACACTCCTACATTGTTAGCAGGAATGTAAAATAGCACAACCATTATGGAAATCAGTATGGAGATTCCCCAAAGAACTAAAATTAGAAATTCCATGTGGCCCAGCTATTCCCCTTCTGGATATCTTCCCCAAAGAGCTAATCCCATCATATTACAGTACACATGCACGCCAATGTTTACAGCAGCACAATCATAATAGCTAAATCCTGGGGCAGCCTGTATATCAGCCCATGAATGACTGGATAAAGAAAATGTGGTTTCTATATATAATGGGATACTAATCGGCTATAAAGAAGGACAAATTCAATACATTTGTAGGAAAATGGATGCACCTGAAAAATACAGTGTTGTGTGAAATAAGTCAGACGCACAAGCCTAAATACCATATGGTATCTCTCCCGTGAGTAAGACAAAGTGCAAAGAACACAATAAAGGATGGATAGAAGACAAGGGGATGGATCTCTTGCAAATGGGAATGGGTCCAAGAGACCAAAGGTGAGGGATGAGGGGCAGGGGTGGGGCAATAAGTAGAATAGGGATATGCCATGTGTAGGAACCTACTAACCTCAATGAATGTAAACATATGCCATAAATATGAGCTAAGATTAATAGTATCAACAAGGATTGAAACGGTGAAAGGGGAATTACAGGAGGAGGGAGGGAGGGGGAGAGAATGAGAAGGGGATTAAAAAAATAACCAAGCTGTATTATGTACATGTACCCATTCCCCACGAGCACTGTGTACTGCATATACTACAAGCACGTACCAAAAATCCCCAAAATACACTAACAAAAACAAAAACAAAACAAGCCTGGGGACGTAGCTCAGTGAAAAGGTCCTGGCTTTAATCTCCACAAGTGGAAAAAAAAAAAAAAGAAATAGGAAGGGTAGTGGGGAGGTATTATAATATAATCCAGGGAAAACATTGTTGATATAAACTAATGAACTAAGAAAACAATTATTGTAATTATCAGACAAGGACTTTAAAGCAACTACTCTAAATATGTTAAAGATTTTACAATATAGGTTGGATAACAGTGTTTGAAGACATGGACTATTTCAAGAGAAGTGGAAATTTTAAAAAAGAAACCATGCAAATTGTAAAACCATGCAACCTCGAGTGGTAAGCAAGGCACAATTGTGTTAAGTGTTTTTCTATCTAATAACAAAGGCCCAGGTAAATAGAGTAGACATCAAAAAATCTCAAGGGAAGAGTGAAATTACATTTGTAGCTGGTGATCTGATACATTTCCCTATGTAACTGATGAATCCAGTATGCACATATACACAAACTGAAAAGAGAATTGAGCAACGTTATCAAGCAATTTAATCCAATTGACATTTATTGAACAACTACCCCGCCCCCCTACAGAACATAGTCTTACTAAGTAAGCACAGACCATTCACCAGGTGGGCCTAGGCTGCACCATAAAACAAATCTCAAAAGCTTTCGAATAATTAAATCTTATAATTTTTAAAATTATTTGAAGTTTAGAGTATGTTCTGTGACTATTATAGAATTAAAATATGTACAACAATGCAAAGATAGCCATAAAATCTTTTTTTTTTTTTTTTCCAGTACCAGGAATCGAACTCATGACCTTGCGCTTGCGAGGCAGGCACTGTGCCACTGAGCTAAATGGCCAGCCCCCATAAAATCTTTATTGAGTAACCTATTTCTAAAGAACATTTGGCTTAAAAGAAAGTAATAGGGAATGTTAGAAAGATTTTCTAAACAGATGATAAAGAAAGGTAATGAAAATAGCATATCAACATGTGTGGCATATAAATAAAATTGTGCTAAGAAGAAAATCAATAAATTAAAATACAAAAACATAGAGATCAACAAAATTAAAATCAGTCTTTGAAAAGATGAAAATATTGATAAATCCTTAGAAGTAAATTTGAGAGAAATACAAATGACCAATATCAGAAAGTGAGAAAGGTCATTATAGATCCTACACACATAAAAATGAACAAAGGTCATATAATTAAAAACTTTTCATCAACAAATTCAATGACCTAATGACAAAAATAATAAATGTATTTATTATCAAAAATAATAAAAAATAATAAAAAAATGAAGGAAGACACTGCAAACCTGAAATATCTCTATATATTTTCTTAAAAATTTTGAATTTATAATTTAAATCCTTCCCATCAAGAAATTCCAGATCAAGATGGTTATAGTATAAAAAAAGAAAGCCAGCCAGTCAATTTAACCTTAACTGTTTCAGAAATAGAGGCTAGAAGAGTTTTCAAGCAAGTGTAATTCTGATATCAAACTCTGACAAGGATATTACAAAAAAAATTATAGACCAAGTATCCTGTAAGAAAATAAATTTTAAAATCTGTAAGAAATTAGCAAATTAAATCTCTCTATATATAAAATATATAAAAGAGAGATATAAAAATAATATGTCATGTTCAAGTGAGGTTTATCTTGGGGATAAAAGAGTTATAATAATTTTATAATGCTTAAATATATGAGTGTTAAGTGTAATTCCAAGCTGATAAATCTTTACTGTAATGTTAATGTATGATTTTTTTCGTAATTATTTAAAGTGATGTTTATTCATAATAGTGACTTCAAAGATATATTTTTCTGAAGTTTCACAAAGGATTTCAGCATAAATATTTTCTATTTAGGCATTTTTCACTGTAAGCCTAGTATGTTCAAAGCAAAATATTTGCTCAGCTCTTGGAATAAGTCTTTATGGTTCTTTTTATTTTTGTGGCAAAGGTTTCATAATCACTCAGGTTTGAAGTATGAATTATCTTAGGCCCTTCTCTTTCATTGTCTCCTATATCTATTCCATCACCATAATTCCCTTATAAAAAATCACTTTAATTATACTTTCTCTCACAGTCACAATATTAACATAATAATCATTTATTTATTGTTGATTTTTTTCTAAGTCACACATGTCTGTGAAATTAATTTCTGTTTCTTAGCCTTTTCATTATGGTAAAACACATATACAGTCAATAGCACTAAGTACATGAACTGATAACTTTTCAACAAATGTTACACATAGATAGCCAATTCACAAATCAAGATCTACACATAGGCAGTAACCTGAAGTAATCTATTACCCCTTTCTAGTCATTTGCCCTCCCAAATGTAACTATGATTCCCACTTCTACCACTCTAGATAAATTATGCCTACTATGAATGTTCTGTAAGCAGAATAACCAATACAAGCACTTTCTGACCTCTGCAAGTGATATTGTCTGTAAGATTCATCCACGCTGTTTCTTGGGATTGTAGCTGGTGTTCGCCATTGTTGTGTAATACTCTGTTGTGTAACATTACCAAATTTTCTTTATCCATTTCACTGTTAATGGACATTTGAGTTATTTTCTATTCATTTGTTATTACAAATCCAGTCAGTATGAACATCTTGTCAGTGTCTTTTGGTACACTTGAAATATAACAGGGATTGCTAGGTCAGCTTTAATGAATATTGTTTTCCAAATAGCTTTCCAAAGTGGTTGAACTAATTTTCATTCTAAATGCAAATATGTGATATTTGTAATAACTCTATGCTCAACTAAGAATGCAATATTCTTTGGAATGGTAGATTTAGGATTGTCAATTCTTTTAAACTTGGCAACTCTGGCGGTCCTGTAGTAGTATCTTATAGTTTTAATTTGCATTTCTTTTTGAATGTTGATCAAATTTTCATGCACTTGTTGGCAATTTGGGTATCTTCTTTTGTAAGCAAATTATTTTAGCTCTTTTGCTCATTTTTATTAGATTGTCTATATTTTTAATATTGATCTGCACAGTAAATCTAGAATGTATGTATCCTGTACACATACCCAGATAGGGCAAAAATAACATACACTTTCTTAAAGATGTTCTCTTACAATAATTTAAAATTTTTTTCAGTTATTCATTTTTGTCTTTAAGAACTCTTCCTACCTCAAAGTAAAACAGATGGTCATTTTTTTAACCTTCCAAATGCCACATTGTTTTACACTTAACATTTAAATCTATGCTCTATCTTGAATTGATTTTGTGTTTTGAGTGAGGTAATAAATCAAGGTTAACTTTTTTTCCTTTTGGATTTCTAGTTGACCCAGAGTCTAGTTAAAAGTCTATATTTCCTGTTGTGTTTCAGGGTCATTTAGTTATAAACTCAGGTAACAAGATGTTAAGTCTTTCTGGACACTCAGCCCTATTGCACTGGTCCAGCTGTCTTTTTCATACTGTCACTCAGTTTCAACTACTGTGCCTTTGTAATACATTGTAACATA